ATAACTGATGCCATCTTGGACCCGTTCAGTTCTTCCTGTCCTTCCACTGACCCTACCCAAGACTGTATTGCGTGGTAAATCACTTCTCTGCCGTCAAGGGCTTTGTAGTTAATAGATATTATTTAATGACCATTAGGTCCAGGTGGCCTCTATGCTCTGTTACTCTCCAAACAATGATAAAGACCTTCATGATGTAGTCCCCGCACCCACAAGACTAATTACCCACCATAAGTCTTGACGTAGGAATGCACTCCCTGTCTCCAAGCACGTACCCCCATACCCCAGGTTAACTATAAAATTGTCCCAGTAGCCCCTCTGTGGTGTGGAATGCAGCCTGTGAATGCTTCTGGATCACCATCTGCTCCATCCTACCCTGTATGTAAGTTACCCTATAATACACTGATCCATTGATTAAATGGAGCTACCTGCCTCATTTTTCAGTCTCCAGATACCTTCTCGGTTTGGTGGGTTCCCTCCATCCTTAAGCACCCATCAACACTGCTTGGGGTAGACCCTCTCCCGCTATTCCACCTTCAGCAAACTGCCAGTGACTTTTGTGCAGTAACTGACATTGAATTCCCATTCCCCCTCCCCCTTCCTTTCCCGCCCCACCAAACTTGGCCAGAGCTCAGAACAGATTCAAATTTGATTTGGAGAAACACAAGAAATGCAACATTTCTTGAAGCCAAGTGTTGGGGTGGATGCAAACTCCTGCCTGATATGCCTGCATATCTCATCTTTAATGAAGGTTTCAGAAGGGGTTTTTTTGGTTTGGTTTTGCTTTGTTTTTGAGGGTAGAGGAGGAAAACGGGCTGTAATATTCTCAATTCCATCCTAATGGAGATGTCTGTCCTACAAGGGGCAATGATAGGAATGGACAAAATCCCATCAAACTGGATAAGCTTCCTTATAAGATCACACTCTGAAGTTTAGGAGATTTGAGTTCTCATCAGAGGCTAGGACATCCTCTGGCTCACCTGGCCAGAGGGTGGAAAGAGCATGGGCTTTGAAGTTAGAGAGCCCTGAGTTCTAACCCCGTTCTGCCCTTTAGAGCTGTGTCAGCTTGGGCAAGGTTCTTCACTTCTCCAGGCCTCAGTTTCCCATGAAGTACACGGGGATAGTAATGTCGACTTCATAGGGTGGGTGTCAGATCAGAAGAGACAGTAGCACTTAGCTTAATGTCCTGTATACGGTGGGAGCGCAAGAGAGGGCAGCTGGTATTGTGCTATTATTATTATTAGTTGCATCTGTAAGGCCTCTAGTGGGGAAGATGCTTTCACCCCATCCCTTTCTCGGAATCCCCGACACCAAAAGGAAGGCTGTAGGATGTTTTCATTCCTCTTGGCACAGACTCATTACGGCTGCTAGCAAAATTGGATTGGTCATTAGGTGTCAAGTCCAATTTCCTCCCAGATTCAAGGGGTAAAATATGATCAAGGGCCTCCTGAGCTGCAGTGCAGAAATCCCCAGCTGCCAGCAGTAACCTTCTCCACGATGTAAATGCCATCAGCCTGGCCGAGTGCATTTAGAACCACCAGCTTCCCACTATCCTACAGCAGAGCTCAGAGTGCTCCCTTTTCGGAAGCTGAAAAGTAATCACAGTTATCATTCTAAATTGCCACCCTGTCCATTGATTTCCACATTATCATAGCACAGAGGGCTTGGCAAGAACTTGGGTTAAGAATCATCACTGCTACTGTGTATTGTTAGCCATTTCTCTTTTCGTTAAAATAAGGACCTCATTTTTTGTTGGCAAAAGGAAACCTTAATAACGAAAGAACTGCCTTTGATGTTGTTTAGTTTGACGGCCCATCTCTCTGCTGTGTTATTTCTCAGTCCATTTCCATTTTTTGGTGGCTTCATTTTTTTTAAGTATATGATGCTAATGTTTCTGCCCTTCCTGGCACAACTGCCAACCCTGAATTATAACAAACAGAACCATCCAAGTTTTCTTATTCCCACAATGACATTTTTAGGTGGTTTTGTTAAATTGAGGCATATGGATGTGGGTTGTGACATATTCTTGCCTGTCATTGGAAGACTCAACCCGGTTATTTAAGTGTTTCTCTCTGAAACCCAGATCTCTTCACAGATTCCCAGAATCTGGCCTCCAGCTAGAGGGGCCCAGTCATTCTTGAGAATCATCTTTAAGCAGAAGTGAAGCTTCCCTGAGCACAGAGCATGCTCTTAAAAGAATGTAACAGAGTAGAAGGAAAAGAAGATGTACTCTCAGAACTGTCAGGGAAAGGGAGATAACGAGTGGAACCCAGGGAAAAGAAGAGAATATTTTTATAACAATGACTACCATTTATCCAGTAATTTGATGTGCTAGGTTCCATATGAAGCACTCTGATTAATACCCGCTAATACGTGTTAGGTGCTTACTAAATGCCAGGACCGTGCTCAGCATTTTACACGAATTATCATCCCTTCCTCACTGCAGCCCTCTTCTCGCCACCATTCTATGGCTGAGGGATCTGAGACTCAGAGTTACGATCACTGGCTAAGGTCATTCAGCTGGCGAGTGCCATTCCACTCTGGGCTGAGGGAAAATTCAGGGACATGGTTAATGTCTGGAATCAGGAAGAATGAGCCAATGACACTGAAGTCAGTGTGCATCCGTCTAGAATGGATACAGGTAACTCTCCCCACGGGACGGCCACTTTAAGAGGTAGGTATAAATGTGGTAAGATTAGAGTGTTTTCTAAAATCTCAGTGAGAAAATCCCTTCTTTCCCCATAAAGAAGAGTACCAATTTAATGGGCAATTAGTTAAGAAAACTGTAATTGTGGAAACTATACTATGACTGTCATGGGAGAGTATTTTAAAGTAACAGATTTGCCAGGCTCAGTGAGCATTTTTCTAACTCTTTCTGAAAAAAGGGTATTTGGAATCTCATCTGATGGGAGCATGGCCAGTGGTGGCCCCCGAGTTGCTGACACTCTTCTGGAAGGCAGTCCTTCTTGAACAGATTCAGAAAAGTTCCGTGATGGCAGAGGCAAACTCCTATGCCTGAGATCTGGGCATTGTCCCAAAGTCTTCTATTTTAACTTAAACATTATATTAAGAATTTTGCATTTTATTCTACCCATATCTCAGAAAATGGGATGCGAAAAAAGATGTCCCACATTCACTCTATCTCCTTTATTGACTATGCCCTCTGGGTTTGCGTATTACAGACTGAGGAAGATGACTCAATACCAACCAGTTCTCCTTCTGATAACGTGGTACTTCCCCTGAATTGGCTTTTACCTAACGAAAGACCATTAACAGGAAAGACCAGGAAACAAGTATTCTGGCCCACCTGATCATTCAGCATCTCACAGCAGGTTTGTAAGTTAATATTCTTAATAATAAAGTAGTTTTTGTGAGTTTATTCAGCATGATCTGATCACCCTGGAGTGAACAGACAAAATAGAAATTCTGCACCTGCCGACTTAAGGACAAACCCTTGCAGTGATGATGACCGCACTCAAGCACAAGTGTCCCTGCCCCAAAGGCTCAGTGTGAAATAAACTTTGGTCTCTCCTGACAGAGTTTTATCAACAGGGAAAGGCTGGGCCAGAGACTGACATTCAAAGAGAGGGCACCGACAGAAAGAGAGACTGAGGGGATTAGGAGAAGTGTGAAGGGGAGACATCTCAGGGACCTGGTCAGGAGGAATCTGGAGCAAAGAATAAGGAAATTCACAATAGTGTGTAGATTAGGTAGTTACATAGCATAACAGCAGTTTATTAAGTGCCACTGTAGTGTGTGCTTTGGGGGGGGGGCGGTGGTTGGAGCTATCAAAAGGCTCCACAAGCCCATAGGTATCCCGAATAGTCTACTGAAAATGAAAGAATACGATGGAGAGACAAGGTAACAGCACAAGGCAGGTTGAGAACATGGGCTCTGTCACCAGATGGCCTGGCTTTGGGTCCTGGCTCTGCCCCTTCCTGGCTGTGTGACTTGAACAAGCTGTGTAACCTCAGTTTCCTCATCTGTAAAATAGGGATAAAACTAGTAAACTAGTACCTGTCTCAGAGGCTTGTAGTAAGGACTAAATAAATGAGTTAACATACACATGACACTTACATCAGTACCTAGTAACAGTGAAGCGCTCTATAAATGTTAGCTTTTACTGGGTAACTACATATCACAACGACAATCTATAAAGCTCTATTAATGAGTAACCCTTGGGGATAGGGCATGACGTATTACAAGGGTGGAATCTATACATATACAAAGCATTGCCTATTATGGTCTGTGGCTTATAAAACTACGTCTGTCTTTTTAAAAAGATATCTGTAGATGCTATGGTGATGAACTAATTATATGCAAACTAATTTAAATGGTTGTTTAAATCATGGAAGCTTTTAGTCATTGGATGCTTTGTCAGATACTAAGTAGTACAGTTACTACGTAATGAGATAATCATGGCTGAAACTTCAATGGCATTTACTGGGTGCCTGGTATTTTTCCAGGACCTCATGTATATCAACTTGGTTAATCTTTACAACCACCCTAGGATATCAGTTATTTTTCTTACCTGTTTACTTTACCTGTAGAAAATTTAAGTCCCCAAGTTACAAAGTCAGCTGGGATTCAAAGTCATGGCACCCGCCTCCAGAGCCTCTGCTGGGAGCCACCAGGCTACACGGCCCCCTAACACGGGGCTCTGCAACACGTTCTGACATTTAAACCGGGGCCTTTAAACGTGGGGTTGTAGAAAACAACCAGTGCATGAAGAGTGAGGTCAGCCCTTCACAGGAGGGATAAAAAAGGGAAGTCATTCTAAAACATATTACGGTCGGACATAAGGGCTTCCTGTGTGTCTGTGTCCACAGGACTAAAAAGGCTTAGGCTTGGATCCTGGGTGGAGGACGTGTGAAAGCCCAGCGAAGTGTTTCCAAATCCCAAGGTGGCTCATCAGGAAAGTCCCCGCTCTGAAACCCCTGTCGGAACATCCTGGCCAGGGCTGACCTGATGAGGGCAGGCACGTGGAGGGATGTCTGACTTACCGGCCGGGGCAGACTGTACTGGTACATTTCTGGGCGGTAGGTCGGCACCCAGTGCACCCCAGCCCTGGGCCGCGTCATGGTCCCAGGAGCGCTGGTCACCACCTCGGAGTAGGGCAGGTGCTGGGCGGAGCCATATGCCTCTGGGTGCCGGCTCTGGCCTGCATGTCCTGCGGATGCCAGGCTGAAGGCCTCCTCCAGCAGCATGTGCATCTGTTGCCGGACCTCGTCGATGGAGGGCTGCGAGCTCAGCGTGGAGGTCTCCGAGTGGCCTTTCACCTGCCTCGACCGGGCGTAGCCCCGGGGCTCATTCACTCTGTCAATGTTGGTTTCCTCTATGATTTCAGGCTCAGTCTGTGGGACCAAACAAATGCCCATCGATTTGTTAATGAACTTTCCTTCCCATTAATGATGTCTGTAATTTACTCTAAAACGTTCTGTTTAGGCGCGTGTCATTAGGCATTTGTGCTAATTTATATTAGACCCTAGGCGTCCTCTCCCGGCATTCACACTACAGGGGTAGTCAGCTAGCATTATATCAGTGAGGCCACACTATCTATGTGAACACACACAACTATCTCTGTGAACTTCAGTTTTCTGGACCTTAAGGAATGCATCAGGCTTTGCCAATTCGCATAATGAGGATGAGAAATGGCTTTTCATTGATGACATTAGTGGCATCCTCTAAAACCTTTCAGAGATATTCTCCACCCTTAGGCCTTTTAGGTAAAAGAATCTAGAGCATCTTGTAGTCTACACCCCAGGGGCTGGTGTTCTAGACCATAGACTAACCCCCTAAATGGTCCTGTGCCCCAGCCATTGAGGGAATTGCTGGTTGCCTGGTGCCAGTTATCAGAGAGAATAACAAAACCAGACCTCAAAGCGTAGTGCCCCGAGTCAGGAGCTCTGGGGACAGGGCCCAGCAATCGGTGCCTTAACAAGCCCTCCAGGAGATTCTGATGCCTGCTGAAGTTTGAGACCCACTGCTCTAGAATGTTCTTCTGCCTTCTTCCAGTGAACTTTCCATTCAGGGAGCAGTTGCAGTACTCAGATGGGCAGAGAGCTAGGACTTGATCAGCTTCCAGAGCAGGCTGCCTGGACTGTCTTATGTTTGCCTGCTAATGAGTGCTTATTTAATAAGTCTGTATGTGTGGCAGATTTTGGTCTGAGACTTGCTTTTGTGATAAAATGATAGTGAGGTTGCAGAGACTAGTTAACCCACGTCCACTTCAAGTATGTCCATGGCTACCGCTATCTGCTAAAAGAACCTGAGGGTTCTGTGTGAATAAACTGGCATAGATCAGTTTGCCACCCTGCTCTCCATCCATGACACAAGAAACAGCTGTCACTTTAGGAAAGTTAGACAATACAGATAAGCAAGAGGGAAAAATATCAAAAAAGTCCATTTACATTTGGCGTAGTTATTCCATTCCTACACCTATCTGATTTTGTGTGTACACTCCTCTTCTGTGCACACATGCCCCTTTAAAAAGATTTATGTATTTATATCCTGGTTCTGGGTGCTTATAATTATTTTACATAGAGTGAATATTTTCCTACCTGGGTTTCACAGCTTAACTGCTGTGTGACTTTGAGCAATGTCTTAGCTTAGGTTGCTCCAAAAAGCAGAACCTGAGACGTACATTTATATACAGATAATTCATTTTGGAAAAGAATTCCTGGGGACTGGGGGCCTAGAATGAGTAAACTGGGGAAGGAAGAAAAGCTAGCCACGGTACTGATTTAATGATTGCTGTGGGCCACAGAGGCTTAATCCCTCTGGGGACCTCTGAGGAATGAGTCAATGACCCTCCAGAGACTGTCCTTGCACTCTGAGATCTGTGCAGGAGCCAGGTGGGCAGAATGGGGTCCCACGGGTGTCCCACAGAATAGTGCAGAGAAGCCACAGGGCAAAGCCAAGAGATGAGGAACTGTTAGGGTAACACAGTCAAGCTGCTACCGTGCAGGGCGGATGCTGCTGCAATGACCAGATCCAAAAGGCGATCTGAGAAGGTAAAAGGGCAGAAAAGATGTTCCAACCAGGACAGTTACTTAACTTTTTGGTGTTTCAGTTTCCTCATCTGTAAAATGAGGATAATAATAATACCTGCCTCAAAAGGTTTTATAAGGACTGAACAAGATGATAGAGGTAAAGAGTTTAGAACAGCAGCACATGGTAAAAACACAGTAATAGTAGCTTTTGTCGTTATCATAATTGTCATTATTATTACTTTTATTCATTCAACCACACGTTATTTCTCACGGATAAAGCACTCGGACATACAGGAATGAGCACAGCAAGAAAATGTCACCAGGGAACCCATTCATTAAAGGGACCCCTTCCCTCCTTAAAATCTAGATGTGGGGCTTCCCTGGTGGCGCAGTGGTTGAGAGTCCGCCTGCCGATGCAGGGGGCATGGGTTCGTGCCCCGGTCTGGGAAGATCCCACATGCCGTGGAGCGGCTGGGCCCGTGAGCCATGGCCACTGAGCCTGCGCATCCGGAGCCTGTGCCCCGCAAGGGGAGAGGCCCATGTACCGCAAATAAAATAAAATAAAATAAAATCTAGATGTGGAAGGTCAGAACTACATTATTTTTCATGTTTTAAACATTTATGTACTTTTCTTTGGTATTAATACACACGCATTAGAGAAGAAATAAAAAATACAGAAAGCATGAAAAAGAAATTAGACATTTCCTGTAATCTTATCACACAGAATTAGGGCTTGGCTATAGTTCAAGATCAAAAGACAAGATTCTCTGTGGACCTGCAAGTCTAGATTTATCAACGAACATCAACAGTAATTCAGAATACTATTTTTATATTAACGCATGCAAGAATAGATTATGGAGTAGAGTGCAAAATTACCTTCATAATAATAAACAAGAACTCAAAGACATTTCATGCCTGGGTGTATGCCCCCAGACCCTGGGCTGGGGACGCCCCGGGGCCCTCATGCATCGGTGTTCTTTAGGGAAAGGCTTGAAATCGCTCTCCAGGAAACGTGCTCCCAAGTGATACCTTCTAGGGTAGTGAATGCAACTTCTGCAAAAAATTTTCTTACAACACTTAGAACATTCTGAATGGAATTTCAGAGCCGGAAGGGACTTTAGGAGACCATTTAATTCAAGCCCCATTTTACGGATGAGAAACTCAAGGCCAGAGCGGTTAAGGGACTTTGCCCAATGTCCACCAGAGGTGGCAATGGCAGAGCCTTGCTCTCCCAGCTCCTGTCCCTTGCACATCTTGCCGCACCCCGTTACCTCTCACAGTTCCCTGTCAATGCTGGCTGCTACCCACACACGGTCCTTCCTCCTCACATCCCGTCTCCCAGATAAATAATGGATGCTTAGTGCTAAACCACTCCCAGGTGGAAGATTAATGGTGCTGAGGACGGCTATGATTTTTCCCACACCTGAGCTGGGCTATGCATTTCCAGTCATACTGGTGGATCGATTATTATGTGAATTTATAGTTTTGACTTCAGCAGGGCAAAAATATATTTCTTAGCAACAACTTCCTACTCACCCATTCTCCCAGGAGCCCTGGGGTGGGGCTGTACTGAGTTCGGGGAGGGGTTCTCCGAGTAAGGCTCAGGGAAGATACTATCTTGGCTGGGGAGGTGGAGACATGCTCCAGAATCCCATTGCATCTACCCCGTAACACCCCAACGCAAATCAACCTGCGCTTCCCCCCGCCCCGAGTTTTCATTTTGCGTGGGCAGGGCATTCCCTTTAACTGGAGGGCCAGAGTCATAACCCAAATATGACCTCAACAGGTTGGTGCTAAAGAACTCCTCTTTTCCCACTCTTCTCACTTGCTTTTTTAGCCTCCTGATATCTACAGATGGAAACAAGATGAGCTCTCATTATATCCTGGGATTTCCCCTCTTCACACCTGATTTGCTTATTTAATCTTGAGCAAGTCTGGAAGCTCTGCGCCCATTTCACTTGTCTCTCATGAACTTGGCACAAGACACTTGGTATTCAAGAAAGCTCTGTGAAATTGAACCAAAATAAAAAATTCTGTCAATTGCCCATGGAGTAGAAAGAACTTGAGGTTAAGATAAAGAGCCCTCATTCCCTAACAGATTTCCCCCAACACTGCAGAGCCACAGGCGAGCCTCGCGAATTCCCTAGGCCTCAGGCTCCTCACCTGAAAAATGGGAGTGTTAACCATGGTCTGGGGAAGTCCCTTCTGGTTCTCACATTTACTGTGATTTAGGTTGATTTCTTGGATGCTATCTGCTCTAAGAGAGCCCAGATTCCTCCTACAATCATCGTGCCTGGGGGGAATCTGATGTCCACTCATAAGGGGAATCCCTCCCCACCCTCTGTATCACCTCCTCCCCTATCTCAAAATATCAATATATGAGTAGTGATGTTTGTTCTTTTACTTAACAGATAATCATTGATTTCAACCCTGTGCTTGGCCCCGGGCTGGGATCTGCAGATACAACAATAAATAAGATAGTGTCCCAGCCCGCAAAGAGCTCCCAGTCTATAGAAGGAGACAAATAACAACAACATCAATAATAACAGCGGCTAACATTTACTAATAGCTTATGTGCTAGACACTGTTATAAGTGCTATATATAGATCCATTTTTTCCTTACAGTAATCTATGAGGCAACAACTGTGCCTATCCTTATTTTACAAATGAAGACATCGAGGCATTGAAAGGTCAACTATGTTGCCCATAATTGATGGAGCTGCATTTTGAACCCAGAGAACCTGATTCCCAGCACCCAAGCTCTTACTCACCACGTACATAAATAGGTCCATTACCGTACCACAGGTATTGGCTCTGGCAGAGGGATGAACAGATATCTGTGACCAGGAGGACAGACTATAAAATAATAATTGAGGGCTTCCCTGGTGGCTCAGTGGTTGAGAGTCCGCCTGCCGATGCAGGGGACACAGGTTCGTGCCCCGGTCCAGGAAGATCCCACATGCCGCGGAGCGGCTGGGCCCATGAGCCATGGCCGCTGAGCCTGCGCGTCCGGAGCCTGTGCTCCGCAACGGGAGAGGCCACAACAGTGAGAGGCCCACGTACCGCAAAAAAATAAATAAATAAAAATAATAATTGAGAAAATCTACCTTATTGATTACTATAAAGATGTAAAGCATCAATATGCAAATATCAAGCACTTAGAAGAGGGTCTGGCAGACACTCCCATATTATCTCTTCCTCCCCACAGGCTGTGGGTTCCTTTAAGGCTGGGTCAGTGTCTTTTTGTTATATCCACAGCCTCCAATTCAGAGCTTAGCCCAAAGCTGAAACCAGTAATTGCCTGTTAAGCAAAAGAACTGAACAGAGCAGGTGCTCAAAGTTACTTGAGGACCTGTGATATG